CAGGAAGGTCTACTTACTACATACTACAAAGATCAAAGGCTTGAGAGCCTTGTTTTTCCACTTACTGGTTATTTATAACCTAATGTAAGTTACTAAACCTCTCTGTGCCTCAGTGTTATCATCTACAAGGTGAAAATAGTAATCCTTAGTGTGTCTGGCATATGGTAGGCTTTGACATATCAGATTTTTTTTTTAATGACATACACAGATTGCCTGGCACAACTAAGTCTTTGAAAAAATCAATTCTCAGACCATGGTCTAGATTTTTCACTAGGTTCAGCAGTGTGGATTCTCCAAACCTAGTCCTCTACATGATCAGTTCTACGTATATCACATACTAAGTACTATGCTATAATAAAATCATAAAAATCCCAATGAACTTCTCTGCATTGAGAAAAGGAAATACTGCATAGTGCATTCATAAATATAAAAGGAATATGCCATACAGTTTATTTTTTATTGTGGTACTGGGGCTCAAACCCAGGGCCTTGTGCATGGTAGGCAGGTACCAGACCACTGGAGCTACATTCCCTAGTCCTGTATACTTTTTACTTGGGGAAAAATTATTTAAAGCTTCTTTCACTTGGTAATGGTTTTGTATCAGCACTTTGGGGTCAAGACCACTACACAGCAATGGCCATCTTCCTACTTTACCTCACTAACAGTACACTGTATTCTTAGGAAGTCTTATTTTCCAGGATATCCTTCAGCTAAGAGTGGGACTAAGTTTTGTTGAATGAGTTTACAGTTACCAGGCTACCTCCTCTGATGTTTTCCTTCCTCATTTACTATGGCAAAGCGGTTTTGTCATTTACTATGGCAAAGCGGTTTTGTCATTTACTATGGCAAAGCGGTTTTGTCCCTAAGGGAGAGGACAACACCCTAGAGCACATTGGCTTCATGGACAGAGCCATCTATCTCCTGGATTGAATGGCTCCAGAGCGGAGCATCAGAAAGCTGCTCTGAGTTGTTGTTACTGTACTTTGTTTCCATTAAAGTAGCCAAACAAGTGTCCTCATTAATACACCTACTACATTCATGGCCCCATTACTGCTTTGCAGAATGGTAAGTTTAATCACATGATGGGGGTGGGGGGTGAGATTATCAGCATTGGAAGGTGATTAACTTTTTAAGAGTCAGTATTTTCATGTTATGTTGTATTTTCAGATACTCAGGAACACCTGGGTATGAGCTAGTGAAACAGGTTCAAATTAAGCTTGTTAAATAAAAACAAAAAACACTGGTAAGGCATTCAGCCATTTCTTCTCCATGAGCTGTAACTTACAGGGCAAGCAATATAATGGAAATTTCACAGTAGTAGCAAAACTGTAAAGTATTTAGTCACTGTAATACAACACTTCCAGTTTTAGTAGACAGTGTTGGGAAATTGGCATTTTACATGAAAGTAAAACTAGATCCCTAGCTAGCATCCTGTCCAAAAGTGGACTCAGGATGGATTAAAGTCTGAAAGATGAAAGGTAAATATTATAAAGTTAATAGGAACTACAGAACAGTCTCATGATCTAGGTATGTGATGCTTCCTTGAAATCTCCAAGGCACAAACCATATAAGGAAAATAACAAAAGATGATTATTATACCCAGATTAAAGTTTATTCAATAGAGGATTGAAGCTGGGCACCGGTAGTACATTCCTGTAGTCTTAACTTACTCAGATTTGAAGATTGTGGTTGGAAGCCAGCACAGGCAGGAGGAGAATTTATAAGATTCTTCTCTCCAGTTTACCACCAAAAAACTGGATGTGGAATTGTGGGTTAAGTGGTAGAGCACTAGCCTTGAGCAAAAAAGAGCTCTAGGACTGGTATACACACAGTAAGAGGATAGAGATAATAAATGACAAGCTCAGGACAATATTTGCAATGCTTGAAAGTCTCCAAGAAATTATATGTAGAATATACGTAAAACTACTGAGCCATAAAGAAATCTGATGATGAATCAATAGCTCATAGAAACACAAAATAAAGATGTTCAACTCCATAATGAAAGTGTTTATTTTTAAACTTAAAATTTAAGATTGGCCAAAACTGGAAACATTGGTAATACCAAGTATTGGTGATGATTTAGGGAAACTAAAGTCTTACACTAAATGCAGGCCTGTGTATCTATTCTAGAAAGCAATCTTAAACTGTGTAGCCAAAGAAGGTTAATTGTTTACTAGGTCTCGAGACACCCAACCCAACCCCACTGAATAAAAGATTGACATCATTTTTTTTTCTGTGTCTGTATAATTTTATTCATTCAGTGAATTTTACTAATGGATTTTTCCCTGTTTCATTTAAAAATTATATCCTAAGTGGCCATATTCTTCCTGTATGTACCTAGGCATATATACATAGTAATGTACTAGATACATAGTCTATATCAACTTGAGGGTTCATAGTTCCAAGTTAGGTTTTTCTTTTGTTGTTTTTGGCTTTGGGGCTTGAACTCAGGGCCTAGGCACTGCCCTGAGCCTCTTTGTGCTCAAGGCTAGTTCCTGACCACTTGAACCACGGCACCATTTCTGGTTTTTGAGAGGTTTATTGAAGATAAGCGTCTCGTGGACTTTCCTGCTTGGGCTGGCTTTGAACTGTGATCCTCAGATCTCAGCCTCCTGAGCAGCTTGGATTACAGGTGTAAGCCACCAGCACTGGTTTGGGTTTTTCTAATTATAAACAAGTTTTGAGTTTATCAAATGCTTTATGGGGGGCATTTGTTACAGTTACATTTTCCTGCCTTAATATGAAGCACTGTGATAGATTTCTTAATGTTGAGTGAGCAACAAGCTGGGCTAAATTTTTTTGTTTAAATAAATGTAATTTTTTTTTGTTAAATAGGTCTTGTGCTTTTTTTATGTCTGTAATCATAAGTACTTATTTTTTTCTTTTGAAACAGTCTGGATGTCGCCCAGGCTGACCTTGAACTTACTATGTATACTGGCCTTGGGCTCAGCTTATGATCTAATATTCCAACTTTTTTTTTTGGTTGTGGGGCCTTAACTCTGGGCCTGGGTGCTGTCCCTCAGCTCTTCAGCTCAAGACTAGTGCTCTAGGAGCAGTTGAGCCTTTTTTGCTTATGTGGTGCTGAGGAATCGAACCCAGGGCCTCATGCATGCAAGGCAAGCACTCTACCACTGAGCCACCTTCCCAGCTCCTATTCCAACTTTTAATCTTGATACTCCTTCTAGCTGTATGTTTCTAACCGTTCACTTAAAAAAAATTTTTTTCTCTCAGCAATGTATTTCAGACCCTTAGTCTTATAATCAGTTTGAAATTGCTTCTGTTCCCTTTGAGTGTTTAAAGGCAGACAATCAAACTACTGTTTGTTTATAAAACTACACATGCATAGGCCTGTGTGTGTGTGTGTTAAACCTGTAGATTCCTAACAATTCTTGCAATTTTAGTTACTACCTCAGGATTCTTTCTATCCTTCCCCCTTTTCCCTATACATAAATCCTGTCTCAAAAGTCAGAAAACAGGCTCCACAAATCCTGTTTGTTACTTCTTTCCCATGGTGTGCCACCACGTGACTGTTAGAGGTAACTGTTAGAGGTAACAGTGCCAACATGGGACTCAAATGCATGCATCTCCTCCAGACTTCAAGTTAATTCAGAACATGAGAAGTGGGGAGATCTCTGGCAATGGTAAAGTGTTTAGGAAACCTAAATAGTCACAGCAGAGGTGAGCAGAAATTCAGCCCAGCTTCAGAAGGACCTAAGCAACTGCCCCAGTAGACCAGCATGGAGATGTCAGACTTAGCTCGAGACTCGAAGCCTGAAGAGCAGCATTGCTGTCTCAGTTTTGTCTTTTTTAGGGGGAGGGAGGCCTAGAGAAGCAGAGGATTGTTTTCCCCATCTCTGTAGCTGAGAGTACAAATATATATATTCCTGCCTGGACTGCAGCTGGGCTAAATGGGCCAAGGAAGCCTCCCTGCTATGCTAGGAAGCCATTGGGTCTGTAGTACTGTCTTGAATCACAGCTATTCCCACACATCACTTGGTCACTTCTGTTCATGTCTATGACAGGCCACTGCCCTAGCAACCCATCACTCCCACTAGACCTTGGGAAATTTGAGTTCACCTCTTTAATTTCCTGCACCAGCATGGGACAGACATTGGCAATTTCCTGTCCTTGTGGCTTTGAGAATATGCTTCCCACCTGGATGTCCTGGGTGGTGGGCCTGAGAAGAGCAGCATCAGGATGTCATGGGTCATTAGAACAATAGTTTTTATGCTCTATCTCAGAACTACTGAGGCAGAACTCCAGCAGTGTATTTTTATTTTTATTTATTTTTATTTTTTTATTTTTTTGCGGGGGGGGGGTCCAGTCATGGGGCCTGAACTCTGGTCTGGGCACTGTCCCTCAGCTCTTCAGCTCAAGGCTAGTGCTCTACCACTTGAGCCACAGTGCCACTTCCCAGCTTTTTTCTTTTTGCTTATGTGGTGCTGAGGAATGGAACCCAGGGCCTCAGGCATGCAAGGTAAGCGCTCTACCACTGAGCCACCTTCCCAGCCCCAGCAACAGTGTATTTTTTAAAACCCTCTATTGCACTTGAGTCCTGTCCCCATCTGTGTGGACTGCATCACCTCCTTGTGCCTCTGCTTTGGTGCCACCCAGTGCTACTGCCCACTTAAAGCTAGGTTTTGTGCACAGTCTTGGAAAGAGTAAGTCCGGTGGCTCTTCTGCCTTTTGCCATATTGCACATGGCAGGAAAGTGAGCAGCACAGAATGAGTACATTTGGGAACAAGGCCAACCTCGATTTGAGAACCCAAAAGGGAAGAGCACTGGCCCGAAATCCTTAAGGGCATATCCTGGATCTTAGAATGGCATGTCTTCCATAGGGATGAGAAGTAGGGACAGGGTGGGCCAGCCAGAGCCCAGGATGTGCCATGGCAGGTGGCAGCCCAGCACTCTGCAGGCCGCAGACAGCTTATCAGAGGCAATCACTTTGCACCGGCGGTGGATTTCACAACAGGTCAGTAACAGAGTGTGACAGGAAGGCTCACAATTAAATAGCATGTTTAATCAACTCACAACAGACAGTAGTGCAGTAGTAGAAATTGTAAATGTTTTTTAAAAAGTTGCTCCCCCCAAATTCCCATTAAGCCCAGCCACCGTGGCTGAGAGGCCAGTGACAGGGCTGGAGTTCAGAAGTCTTCCCCAGATGCAGTCTCTTCCTGGCAAAGTTGCCTTGAGCAGCCAAGAGCCCTAAGAGGAGGTGATGCCCATGCACTCACTGACACGGGTGCAAGGGACACAGGAATGATGGCGGGACTGGGAAGGGTCACAGTGGGGCAGTCACACACATGCGCTCATGCCACAACATTCCAGTCTTGTCTGTGGCTGTCTCTGGGGACATGGAGTGTTGGCCTCAGCCAAGAAGCAGCAGATGCTGGTCAGGAAGAAAAGGGGGAGAAGCCTGGCTGCTGGGCACATGTCCTCAACAGCCAGAGGCCCCTGGCATCCCTAAAACGGCTAGTCCTGCAGGGCTCCAGTGCTTCAGGTCTGGACAGCTTTCATCAAGTACCATTCTAGCATCAGTGGGCTGGGATGCCACTTCCTCTTGGCCTGACCAGGGGGTACATACTCTTCCCAGAAAAGGGGCAAGCGCATTCCCACAGCCAGGCCCCTGGAGCCAGGAGGCTGGTGGTGCTCACTGGGTGTACTCTGGGCTCTGTAGCAAGGCAACAGTGCAGCTGAGAAGAGCCCAGGGGCTGTTTGCCCTCAGGTGGGGGTCAGGGGGAGATGGAAAAGAGGAGGCCCTGAGGTTAGGATATTAGCGGGGGCCTACCATATAGTAAAGAGGAAACCTCTTCATTCACAGCTTCATTCAGGGGTTCCTGGAGTCTGTGGATTCAAGTACCAGCAGTTTGGGGTGGGGTACTGGGGTAGAGTGGCCAGCAGCACTGGGAGAGCAGTCACCCGCAGACTAGGGAGGGAGGAAACCAACCTGGCAGTGCTCTAGGCCCAGGCACTACCGACTCCTACCCAGAAGAGACAGCCCGAGTGACTACAAGATCTCCTCTCGTGGGCTCCTGGCCTTCAGTGGGGTCTGCCCGTTAGGTACAGAGCCATTCTGACCATGTAGGAGTTTGCCCTTCTCCCGGTCTGGCCAGGTGAAGATGGCATCATCACTGTCCAGCTCCGACTCAGAGTGCATAAGGCTGCTGTTCAGCATGGGGCCTTTCTGTTTGATGCCTGCAAGGAAGACATGGAACCCTGGGTCAGATGACAGACCTTCCACCTTGAGCCACAGACCCTTCTCCAGGTGGAAGGCAGTGCATTCGTCATGCTCCCATGCTGGCTGGGGGTGGGGCAGCAGTCCGCATGTGAAGTTACAGAAAGTACAGTCTTGCAATCAGTACAGAGCTGTACTGCTGGGTCCTGAGTGGTGATCAGTACCACTCACTGGCACTCTCCTTTTAGATTTGGAGTTTCATGGTGAAGTAAGAGAAAGAAAGCAGAATTGAGACTCTGAGCCTCCCTTGGCTCGGCCTGGACAGTGACCTGACAGCGAGGCCACAGTCTTCATGCATGTAGACACTTGCCCCACGAGCTCATGATCTGCTCTGGCTTTACTGGATGGGCACTGGGGACAAGGGAGCAGGGAGGCTGCAGGGAGTGCCTGACAGAGATCAGAACACAAACCAAGGACCATAAGCATCATCAGAGGCAGAAAAGATGTCTATATTTCTGCAAGCCACAGCAAACATCTCTACTACTTATCCCTATAGCTGCAGACAGACTGTAGCTCTGTGCTCTGGTAATAGCTTTGGGCAGATCCCACTCAGCAGCAGTTAAACAGATGTCTACTCTCTGGCTGGTGCAAAATACTCCAGAGAAAGCAAAGGAAGGCCACAAGAGGGAATTGCCAACAGTGAGGTCCCAGTGGTCTGGACCAATGCACTGACCAGCCCAAGAACGGACTCAGAGCCTCAGACTTGCTAAGCAAACACTCTACTATTTGAACCATATTCCTAGCCTTTTTTTCTTTGCTAGCTATCTATCTGACTGTCTGTCTGTTTTATTGTACAGTACTATGGCTTTAACTTTGGGCCTTGTGTTCACTAGGCAGGTGCTCTTAACACTTGAGCTACACCGCCAGCCCTTTTTGCTTTCATTACATTTCAAATTGGACCTTTCTTTTTGCCTGGGGCTGACCTGGACTGCAATCCCCTGTGATATCCCCTCCCCACTTTTTTTGTCAGCTGTGGGGCTTGATCGCAGGGCCTGGGGACTGTCCCTGAGCTTTTGCTCAAACCTAGTGCTCTACCACTCTGAGCCATAGCTCCATTTCTGGTTTTCTGGTGATTAACTGAGATAAAAGAGTCTCATAGCCTTTCCTGCCCAGGCAGGCTTTGAAACAATCTTCAGATCTCAGCCTCCTGTATATCTAGGATTACAGTCATGAGCCACTGGTGTCCAGCAAGCCCAGCTTTTTATTAGTTACGATTAGGTCTTGCAAATTTTTTGCCTGGGCTGGCAATGAACAGTGATCCTCCATTCTCAGCTTCCCACTGCTACTTATGGGAGAACATAATAATACATCTCCTTGGATGCAGTAATTAACAGAAATCAAAAAATATGTCCACCAGAAGACAAAAGAATGTTCACAGTTTTCCTGAAAGCAAAAACTGTAAATTCAGTGCCCATCAAGAATACAGTCAAGGGGCTGGGAAGGTGGCTCAGTGGTAGAGCGCTTGCCTTGCATGCCAGAGGCCCTGGTTTGATTCCTCAGTACCACATAAGCAAAAAGAAAAAAGCTGGAAGTGGCGCTGTGGCTCAAGTGGTAGAGCACTAGCCTTGAGCTGAAGAGCTGAGGGACAGCGCCCAGGCCCAGAGTTCAGGCTCCATGATGGGACCAAAAAAAAGAAAAGAATACAGTCAATAAATTGATGTAATGAGAATTGGCACTATGAATCTGTGAGCACTGCTGTGCAGAGCAACATGGATGGATCCTTCTGCCTTTGTCCTGCCCTACTGCTGGCCTTGCATGCTGGGTCCCGGCTGTCCCAGCGCTCTGCCCACACAGAAGTGTGTGTGACAAGAGTTTGGGCTCACCCCTCCACTGAGTACCAGCTTGGTGCCAGTATCATAAAAATCTCATTGGCCACTCTGTGAAGGTAGCTGTGCTCTTTGGCACTCTTCTATTCCTGGGGGAGTGTTTTGCCCACTTCTCTGGTATCTTGGGCTCATTCAAGGCCTTTCCCTCAGTGCTCACCTGGCTTGCACAGAGTACAACCCAAGCTGCTTATGAAAACCTGGTCTTTGCAGGGGAGTTTCTTCCTCCACCAGAATGAACTTCTTAGGGTAGAGCCCACCTTAGGCCTCTCTCTCCCCATAGACTCCCCTAAACATGAAGCTTTAAGCACAACGGTGTACAGAATAAGCATTTTCTATAAATGTGGTGTGCTTGCAAGTTTAGAAAGGGAGACTGCATGGAGAGATATGCTGTGGCATTCACCGTGAAGGGAACTTCACCAAACGGCTAAGCACAGAGAAGATGGGAGACCCAGTGCCTCCACTCGGTCATCCCAGGTCTAGTGTAATAGGAAATCCTTCTAATGGGAGGCACCTGAAAGCCCGGCATGACTGCAGCTAGCAGGAAGGCTACCCAAACACTACGCAGACAGTGGTGGACCTGCCAGATGATGAAGAAAGTGGGTGAGAGGTGGCTGGAGAGGCAGGAAGCTGGCAGAAACTGCTCTGGTCCTATCCTAGTCAAGTATAAGGACCCAAGGCCCCTAACCCTGCCCAGACAGGCAGCTTGAGATACTAAGCTTCAGGCAGCAAACCTGGGGAATGAACAAGCAAAGATGCAGGAGCCTAGACCTTTGGCAAAGTGAAAGCACTGAGAGGTGAGCTCCTCCCTCGGACATTCAGGCCAGGGCCCTGCCAGCTTCAAGGCAAGAGGACAAAGTACTTGCATAACACACATGGGAAAGAGCTGGTGATGGTGGCCACCCACCCACAGACCCAGGGCCCTACCTGCTCGGGAGGCGGGCTTCAGCTCCAGGCTTTCCTGATCCGTGGCATCCAGGATCTTGTACCTGCTTTTCCTCTTGTGTTTTCCTTTTTGCCTAAAAAATATAACCCCCACCCCGTGCCTGCTCAGGAAGGATGCTTTCTGTCAAGGCCAGGGCTGCAGGAGACTGCTCAATGGCAGGGAGGAGAAGGGTCGCCTTAGTTTTAGCTGGAAAGTTACCAACTGTGATTCCGTCCTCAAAAAACAGTTCTTCACCAGTTCTGGGAAGGGCAAGGGAAGCTGTCCATTTTTGTGTGGACTCCCACTCTGAATGGCAGTGAAGACAGGGCAGTTAAAATGTCCAGAAGACAAAGAGCGTCTATTGAGAGTATAGGAGGGGCAAGCACCACACCAACAGAGTTGTTGACAGGGGCTGTATCAGGCTGGTGGGCAATTTTTAAAAATTCTTTTGATTTTCCAAGTTTTATAGGAGGTAATGTTGCAGGTTAAATCCCAGCCCTGTCCCAGATCGGTGAAGGAATTTTCCTAACTTTGATATTCCTTGTTCACAAGATGGGATAAGGCTGTTGTGGTATAAGAAAGATATAATCTGCCAAATGTCACACACACACACACACACACACACACACGAGTTAACACAGGAATCACACCAAGTTTGTGATACAGTCTACTAAATCCAGGGCCTGTGTGTGCAGATGAGCATTCTACCACTGAGCTCTAAAGCCACATTTATTAATGTAAAACATTCAATAAATACAACCACAAATGTGACATGAATACACAGGAAGCTTAAGTGAACAGTTATCTGTAATTGTGCAAAAACATACATGCACACATTTCCTAACAAGAAAGGAAGGAATAAAGTTACGTCAGGCTAAAGTGTGCAACATCAAGGGACACACACCTGGATGCAGCCCGACCTGGACTCCTTCCCGCCCCCTATGGCTCTCAGCCTGCTGATCTCCCAGTGATGCCACTTGGCAAGAAAGGGGTGCTTCTGCCCTCAGGCGTGTCTGAGCGTGAGGAAGCCTTCCTATATGGGGCTGTGGTGGGCCAACCAGTCTAGTCATGACTGAGGACCTAGCAAAGTCCTTCCGTGGGGAAAATGCCAGCTACCTCCCAGGAAGATTCTGTGACAAGAAGCCCAGGTGCATTTCAAAGGAGATCCATCTTACCTCTTACAGCAGCAGATCACAGTCCAAGACAGGATTCCCAAGGCCACAACAATGACAAAGGTAGCGATGATGACATACAGCACACTCCACTCTGCCAAGAAGAGCAGAATGGTGAAGGGGGAAGGTTAGAAGGCAGCTGTGCCCTGTTCTACCTGACATCACACTGCAGACAAGAACATGTATGCCCAGGCTCCCAGGAAGGTTGAGGCTTTGGAGGACGGGGTCAGCTAGCAAGTTTCTGCGGTGCCCTGCATCCCAGGCCCTGCCCCAGGAGGTTGCTGAGGCCCTGTGGCAAAGCACAGGTGCACAGAGCTGTAAAAGAGGGATGCAGGCTTCCCTTAGGCTTCATCAAACAGATACTCCATAATGACAGGAGGCAAAGGAGGCTTTGTGGCAGGTGGACTTTAGGCAGCAGTGTGCAGTTGGTCTGATTTAAGCCCAAATCTGACTGTCTCAGCACCCTCCTCCAACCTTGGGCTAGTGTGGAAGAGGGAAAGACAAGTCTTCTGCAAACAGAAAATACAGAGTTCTCTCAGCTGCTCATCTGCCTCAACGCTAACACCCGCCCCCACAGCACACGTCCACATCCCAGCCACCCAGCTGGCACAGGACCATGCACACTCACCACAGTTGCTGTCACCGTCCCTCAGCTGCACCTTGATGAAATTCTCCATCCAAAATGGGTCACAGATACAGCGCTTGGTGAAGGAGTCACAGTGGCCATGGTCAGAACAGTTCAGCTGACAGGCTAAAGGTGGCAGAGAGGAACAAGACGTCACAAGAGCCAGGGCCACAGGGACAACCAGCTGCCAGAACCTGGGGCCCATGAAGACAAGGAGCCTTGTGTCAGGCTTTCCTGAAGTAAAGCTTCCTGGAGTGCTGGCCCTAGTCATCGAAGTCAGGCTGGCGCTGTGATCACCATGACCGAAGCAGTGAGCCAGGCATGGGAAAATTAACCTGCCTTTGGTGTCTGTGTCAGCCATTCTCAGGCTATTCTGTCCTCCATATCTCCTTATCAGAATAATAGAACGGAGAAAGAGAATCACAAAAGAAGCGGTTATAGTGAGCATGGTTTTGAAATATTAACGAGCACACATTTTGAATAACAATCTGTATGCTTTATTAAAAGAGTAAGTAAGATCTATTAGTGGATCTATTATAATTTTGAAGTAGTGGGGCATAAAAACAATAGCTCATCACGTGATACAAAATTATGTGTGATTTTCTGCTGCCTTGAAGTCAGATGGATTCTGTTAATACTACCGACCTTCATCCTTGAGGGAAATCACAAAGTTCAGTCCGCGTTAAAATAAAGATGTCATTTTTTTCCCACTTAAGCCCACTGTCCTGAGTCCTACCTCAGGGGCTCATGCTTCCAGGCTCTTCCTGCTATTGATAGTTAGAGGAATAAGACTGCCTGCCTGTTCCCAGGAAAGGATGCCCGGCCTGGGACAGCAGCTCTGGATGCCAGCTGAGGGCACTGGTAGCTTCTCCCAACTTCCCAGAATTACTCACTGACAGTATTAATTTCCAATGCTCCAAATATCAAGAAGTCTGCCTTTTGCTTCTGCAGCTCACTCTTGAGCATTGATGCCACCTCATGGCCTTTGAAGATTTGGTGGGGAGGCTCGTTCTGAACGAAAAACACCATCTTGGTGCTGTAGAGACATGGACAGTGTGTGTGAGCCAAGTGGGGCACTGCGGCAGCAGCCTTTATCTACCAAGTACCTTCCTTGTGCACTGTCAGCAAGCCCAAGAGAAAGGTGCTATCTATGTCTTCATTTTACAGAGAATTACAATGGGGCTCAGAGGAGCTAAGTAACTTGCCCAAGGTCACACAGTTAATTATGACAGAGCCAGATCTCCACCCGTTTACATCTGACTGCAAAGCCTGCCCTAGCTACCAGTGGCTCCACTCCACAGTGTGAGCTGGAAGAGAAGATGGCAACACTTTGGCTGTCAGCCTTTTCAGAGCTGAGGTGGAGAGGCTGCTGAGTTTGTGTCTGGCTTCCTTGTAAAACCAACTACAGAGCTGTGTAAAATATGAACCATTAGAATACATCGAAGCGTATCCATAAGCCAAAACAACAGGTACTGTGACAGCAGAAAGACCCTACCACAATTGTGTGGCTGTAGTGAAATTACTCCATGCCCACAATCTGGTTTTTTGACTCTCAATTTCGACCCACATCTGGGCACAAAACATGTTTATGCCCTATCCTTGATTTCTGACAGTCTGCTTTTTAAGCCCATATTAATCTCATGAATTGAATGGGTTTATGGGTGTGCCCAGGATGTTCATTCCCTCAGTGTGCAAGGAGGCTGAGGAGACCCAGCTCCCCAGGGGCCTGGATCAGCTGCTTCCAGGACAAGCAGCCTTCCTTATCTATTTGTTTCAAGGTTCTATATAATGTTATCTCTGTTGCATGACATACAAATTTTGGAAACACATTCACTGGCTGAAAGCTTGCTGAGTGTGAGTAGCTCATGTCTCTAATCCTAGCTATTCTGAAGGCTGAAATTTGAGGATCAGTTTGAAGCTGGTCTAAGCAGAAGAATCCACAAGACACTTATCTCCAAATAGCCACCAAAAAGCCAGAAATGGAGCTGTGGCTCAAGAGGCAGAGAATTCACTTTAAGCAAAAAAGCTAAGGGACAGTGTCTAGGCCCTGAGTTCAAGCCCCAGTACTGGCACAAAAAGAAATAAAAGCTTGCTGAGCAGTGAAGCCAACAATGGAGCTCTACGAACTCCGTATCATGAAACAAATCTTTACCCATCAAAGATGTATAGTCCATTTCCCATTATTTCCTCCCTATACGCCAGGCTTATAGTAGTCCTTTCTGTCTGTGTATCAAACCCTCAAGTATCTGTCTCCTTTCCCCATCGGATCAGTCAATAGGAATCAATCTATGCCTGAAAATGCTTACAACCCCACGCCTTCTACAGATGCTTCAAACCTGACATGTCTCAAGATGCACTCATGGCAATAACCACTAATTGAGCATATGTGTTGGGGATTTACACAAACATTATCTTATTTAATCCTCAACATCAATGCTATACATCACCACTAGAATCTGCACAGATTCAGATTCATAGAGGTAGAGAGCTTGCTACTTCCTAAGGCTCACACAGGGACCGTGGGCTCAGGGGACAGGTTTTTACTTTGTCTACTACAATGTCCTTCCTTCCCCCAAGTACATACTGTTCCCAAATCCTCAGCTATGTTAATCCAGTTCCAGCCAGGAGCCAAGAGAAGTTCAGATGCTTCTTTCTTCCTCATGCCCCACAAGGCTCTCCTTGCCTTCTTGCTAACATCTTTCCACTTTCCACCCAGTCAATTCCCATCAGGCTGGATCAATCTAAGCAGCCATTTGCCCTGTGCCTTCTCCAGGATGCTAAAGAAACAAGTGTGTCAGGCATGTTACTGTATAGCTGTAGTCCCAACTACTCAGAAGGTAAAGGTAGCAGGATGGCAGTCCAAGGTTGGCCCCAGTCAAAACCAAGAAACCCTATCTAAAAAGAGAAATACTAAAAGCAAAACAGGACTGGGCCTGTAGCTCAAATGATAATACATTTGGTTAGCAAGATGAGGTCCTAAGCCCAAGCCCCAGTATTATAAAATTTAAGGAAAAAAAGGAGGGGGGATTGTCCATGATCCAGCTTATCTGGCTGCAAACTCCCTGGGGAGAGCCTACATTTTTTACGTCCCCCATCCTACTCCACTGAATCATAATCTCTAGGGATGAGGCTCAGGCAATGGTAATGGCGACAGAAGCTCCAGGTGACTACTGAGTAGAGTTGGGAGCCATATTGCCCTTGAGGTTCACCTTGGCTCGACCTCAAGATTGTTCTGCAAGTCAGCACCCTCCCTGGAGTGGCTCCTGGCAGACACTCCTTCCTCAAACTTCCCTCCTCACTTCCACCTCCAGGCAGCCAGCCTTCCCCACAGTTCTGAACCTGTGCCACTGCCAGTCCCCCAGACCTGCTCCCACCAAACTCTCGCCTCCACACCTCCCTTCCCTCAGCCATACGAAGGGATTTCCTTCCTGTCTTTCCCAGGTGCATCTTCATCTATCCCCCGTGCCACTTCTGTGTCACTCCGCCTCGGCTCCCTGTGGTCTTGGTGATTTGCAGGGCCCATTCCTTAGGGCCCACTCCGCATTCTCATAGCCATGCAGCCTACCACCACCAGCTGCCTTCCACCTCCCCGATATTCTTGCCAACTACCCTTGCCACTGCTTCCGGCCTCTTCCTTAATACTGGCATTCACCAAAGTTCGTCCTAACCACTTTGGACATGATCAGTGTCATTCCACCCTCTTAGCTTTCACTTCTGTACAGATGCTGTCCACTCTATGTGTCTCATTCTTCCTTTTACCCCACGTTCCTACTTTAGGTTTGTGGCTATTTAGGGGACACATACCCATGTAGCTCATAAGACATCCCAAATTCAATAGCTGAACGGGTTCTTTCTTCTTCCCTGATCTCCGTTCCTGTCCAGAACCACCTGGTCACGCCTTCAGAGTGAAGCCTCATTTCCCTTAATTCCCCAAAGACTATCACATTCTGATGATTTACCTTTGAGTTCCCTTTCATTTCTTCTCCTCTACTGCAATGACTAATTCAGTATTATCATGTTCTTACTGGACTTGTCCAGAAATTTCCTGATTGTCTCAGTCTCTAGTCTCTTCCTACTTTTATTTAATAGGGTTTTGTTTGTTTGTTTGTTTTTGCCAGTCCTGGGGCTTGAACCCAGGGCCTGGGAACTATCTTTGAAAAGCTTATGTTGCTCAAAGCTAGCACTCTACCACTTGAGCCACAGTGCCACTTCCAGCTTTTTCTGTGTATGTGGTTTTGAGGAATCAAGCCCAGGACTTCATGCATGTGAGGCAAGCACTAAGCCACATTCCCAGACCCTTATTTAACCTTTAAATTAGTGGTCTCCCTTTAAAAAAATTTAACTATGAAATCTCCTTGCTTTGAAAATAAAAAAAAAACTACATATACATATAGCAACTTAGTTTGGGTCCTCCCACCCAAAATACAATAATTAAACTCCTAGCTTGCATTTTACTGTTCTTAATCTCCACTGCCTGCTCTCTGGCCGTATCATGAGACTGCCACAATCTTAAATAGAAGCCTTCTTCAGAAGACAGCCTGTCTTCTCTCAGGTCCCCTCCTCTGAGTGTCCTCCAAGCTCTCTGATCCTGGTGGAGACAAACTGTACTTGTTTGTTGGCCTCCTACCCTTGACCTCCAGAAAGAACTGACTGCTTTGGCCCCACATTTCCCTAGTGCCACACTATGCCAGATGTACCCTGTACCGAGGTGACATGTTTACTTGACTATCTACCCTACCATACCATGGCCTGAAAAAAAAAAAAAAGGGACTTCATCACCTTGTACCCCAGGACCAGACTAAATGTCTAGTACAGAGTACATGAGCTGCACTGGAATATCAAGGGCACTGAAGTGGTGAGCACTAAGAGTGGGTCCCACTCAGAGAGCCTACCCATCTCCATCTCTCCCCACGATTTCTCGGCTCAGCTGAAAAGCACAGGGGGCCCCTGGTCTTTCCTTTTCTCCCCCCATTGATTGCCCAGCTACCTCTGCTCCGTGTACGGCTGAATCTTTTGCACAATGATGTCGGAATCCAGCACCCCCAGGAGGACCCCAATCTGGCGGATGAACATCCCCTTCAGCCTCTCAGTGAGCTGACTGACGTTGACATCCAAGATGATCTCCACCAGGTTGTTTTTCCTGGGATCTGGAAAGTATGTGGATCAGTCATGGCTTTACAAGTTGGAGGGTTAAAACAGACCTGCCACTGCATTTGCCTGAGAGGAAGAGTAGCAAGGGCATTCAGACCACCTTCAAGGGGGAAAGCACTATCGTGAATTCCTGATAAGGCAATCTGGGGTTGGCTTGAAAAGCTTTATGCCACCCTGAGAACCGCCACCCATGTGCAAGGGACACGGTAGAGCCATGGGGAACAGAGTTTCTCCTTCGAGGAGAAACACTGAAGCTTTTGTTCTGAAAGCTCTGCCCTGTAGGTTCTGTGGAGCTCTCCAGGCCAATGGGGATGTCAGCAGCTTCACCTGATCCCATCTGACGGTCAGAGACTTGCTGTACTTTGCAACAACAGGAAGGAAAAGGCCAACCAAATCATCTTATCAGTGATGTGCATGTACCTGTTCCTAAAGGTGTAAAATAATAAGCACAAAGAAAGCCTGGACAACCAGGATGTAAGGATTTCCTTACTGTAGCCTCACAGCCACACTGTGTGTGCTCACAGCTCTGGAAATGGGATGTGATTGTGCTTACTTCTGAACATGTCCTATAGACTGTTCCACACCTGCAAGTTCAGAAACTGTTCTTCACACATTGGCAGCACCATCTGCCTGTTCTGGTAGAAGAGCACGATCCGTGACCCGACTCTGAACACAGAAGGGACTCTGTGGTGTCTTGGCTGCTGTCCTCCCTAGTAGGACCAGGACTAGAAATCTCGCAGAGTCTCTCCCATCTAACGTGTCCATGCCCATGCCTGGCCTAGTCCATAAAGGGCAGGCTTGGAGCTAAAGCTTCTTAGCAGGAGCTCTACCCCCTCTACAATGAGTTCCTCCCTATTACGAAATTTGCCTCAAAGCAAAAAAAAAAACATGGTTCTATTTAAGAAAGAAATTTTATTTCTGAAAATCTGAAAAAAAATGTACAGGGTATCAATTACTTTACCTTCCCTGGGTTGTCAGATAGAGCCTGAGGCTCAACTTATAAAAATAAATTGTTTTCTGCATCTGGGCGCTGATGAGACATTGTGACTCAAGCTATTCCTATGCTCACATTCCCAAGGCGCCCTGAGCCCTCACTCCTCAGTCACATGCAGAGGAGAAAGTGCTGGCCTGAGAACACACAGGCCTGGCTCTGACACAACTGCTGTGTGACGCTGAGCAAGCCCTGCCCTCTCTGAGGATCCTTTCTCCATCTGAGAAGGGGGGAGGGGGGAGGGGGGAGGAGTGAGGGGCACTCTTTGAACAGTCAAGCTCCAAGGAATTTTCAGCATAGCATTTCTAGGGTTTGTTTTACATTTGGACATGTCCATGCTGGAGAGGAAGGCATCTCAGGATGGAGACCTGGATGGGCTGATCTGGCAGCTGCCACGCTGTCTTTATCACCACACACACTCACCAGGTTTTACCTCCACAGTGGTCCGCTCGGTGTCACTCTCACCCTTTGCATCAATCACTTTGAGGTGAAATGTGTATGTTCCCTCCACCAAGTTGGAAAGAAAGAGGACAGGATGATGGTCGGAGTGATTCAACACCTCCTGCAGAATGAACATGGCAAGGCTGCAGAACAAAACCCCTTCTCTTGGAGTCAGCTGCTGCTTCTGTCCTAATGACGCTCTGTCGGGCCGGGTTCTTTTAACCCTGAGCATCTCCTGACCTGTGACAACACTGCCACCCACAGCAGCCAGGACCAGGGGACAGCAACCCATTCTGTGCCACACCAGCTTGGAGAATGACCCAGAGCAAGTAATTTAACCTCCTTGGATTTCATAGAACAATCCGGGTTTGATACCAGGAGCTTCTTGGTTAAAGCACGTTATGGGATGTTCGCTCCCCTCTTCACTGGCCTGCTACTTAGACCTTATGCTGCTGCTCTCCCACTCCTGGTCTACTCACCCCTGCTGCTGGACTCCCCTCATCTCGAGTCCAGAGGTAGCTGACTATGCCTTTGTCATCTGAGGACTTGGATCCATCCAGCTCGGCTGTGTTCGTGGGCAAGGTAATTACCACATTCCCCGTTATCTTGGCTATTGGTGGTTCATTCATTTCTAGCCAAAGAAGAACCATTGAAATAATGAAACATTTGGGAAAAGCAGGAATGCTGCTTCCTGATAGTTGTAGGGACATTAAAAACCAAGACCATCTTAAGTGGAGAGTTGTTTCTATGCCCGTCTATGCCAACAGCACAGATCGAAAGCCCCCAGAGCTGCAGTGCTGGTACCAAAAAAAAAATCCCAAATGTTACTCTCTGGATTGTTTTTTCATTCCTCTCTTGGCACTTCATCAAAGAAAAAAAAGACTCTGAGCCTGGGCCTCTTTAGAGGCCTTGTTTGCTCAGTAAAGCAGTATTTACTCAGCACAATAGATTATTAGGATATTACCAGCATAGTAGATGTTTTTCCTACTATCAGGTTATGGCCCTCTTCAAGACTCCCAGCCATTATGCCCGTAGACCAGGACAAGGCCAATCAACCCCTGTGAGTTGGTTGCAGCCTACAGGCTCCGAGGAAAAGCACAGAAAGCTGCAGTACAGCGCAGTCATTCTATGGCCTGACAGCAGGTGTCACTGTAGCTAGCAAGAATGTCATAGAAACCCAGGTCTCAGTCAGCACAGAGGCAAAATCAAAATGCAAAGGAAAAAAATCTTTAGTTCCTTTCCTACAGATGGAGGGAGGGAGGGAAGGAGGGAGGGAAAGAAGGAAGAAAGGAAGGAAGGGAGGGAGGGCAGGCAGGTAGGTAGGGGAGGAAAAGAGGGTAGTTAAAATTCACCTTATAGTCACTGTCAATTAAAGTTGTTTTGGAAAAATAAAAATAAAAGCCAGGGCTATGAATGTGGCATAGTGGCAGAGTGCTTACCTATCCCTAGGTTCAATTCCTTAGTACCACATAAACAAAAAAATATATTAAAAAAATAAAATAAAAGCTGCCTCTTCAACCTTCTTCCCAGGTGGATTCCTCAGCTAGCAGGGAGGTAGGTACCTTCTTTGACAATGACATTCACAGAGCTCTGGCTTTGCAGGTTCCTTTCATCTTTGACGGTCAAGGTGAACACATAGGTCCCCACTTGCAGCCCAGTCACGGTGGCAACACTGCTATTAGCATTCTCTAGCTGTACCCCGTCAGGTCCTCTGAAAGAAGAGAGGTGGAGTTGTACCTGTCTGCTGTTCTCCCACCCCTGACACAGCAGAAAGCAAAAATGATTACTGCTTTAGTTAAGATGTGAACAATTCCTTCCCAGACTTTGACAGGACATGTTTAAAAATATTTCATTTGGACACAGTGTCATTTAGCCCCAAAATATAGGCTACCTGCTGATGAGAAAATACTGCTCAGGAGCTTTCAGACACATCTAGGTTTATCCTTTATATAAGCTTCTAGAACATTCAAACTCTTTACTGTTCCAGTTTGTAAAAGGATAAAGTTCTTTGAACGGATCTGTGATTTAAAAATTTTTTTAAGAGATTTAAGATGATGTTTCTGAAAAGCATCTCTGGCCCAGTAGTTGATTCCAGTTCTTGTCAGCCAAAGAAGCAAAGTGTATTTCTTAATCACATACCCAAATTCTCCTGATGAAAGTCAAGAACAAGAAATGGGCCAAGGCTGCAGAGGAGTTCTCGGGACAAAGCCATCTTCTCAGCAGCTCCACGGGCAAAACTCCTGGACAGCAGAGCATCAGGAAACCAATACCCTGCCTCCTCCTCTGCAGTGGGGTGGTGAGCTGAGTGCCAGCATCCAGGCAGGACTGTGCACAGAGCCCCAAGTGCTGGAGCCTCTTCCCAACAAGGACAATGGGAAAGACCTGAAGATGGCTTTGTTTTATTTTGCTTTTGAAACTTATTACCTCTGGCCCTAATAACCCTCCACTGAAGTAGATTCCCCTCCAAGAAGCTCTGCTGAGCATTATCTCTGCTGCAACCACTAATAAAACCCAGCTCCAAAGTGCATGAGGTCTAGCTCAACAAAGAACAACAGTGAAAACATAATGAGCTGAGGATGATTGTGTTTCCTCAAAAGACAGAAAAACAAGAGCTGAGGGAAATAATTTCTAGCACCTCACTCAGTAATCACAAGTCAAGTCATTTCGACAGAGCAATTAAAACTCTTCTACTCATCTCCAATACCCTAGTCAGAGAAAAGAAAATAAAGAAAAAAGACATGAAAATACATGTGTGTATGTATGTGTGCATACATACACAAATATGAAGGAAAACACTGATCTGTCCAATGGCTATCTTCTTTGGAAGCTGAGAATACTTTTAACTTGTCCTTGGAATTCTTTTGCTTCCTGTGGGACCCTACATAGAGTCTAAGTTCTATTTACCATGGTTTAACGTTGAAAGAAACTGAGAACTGTGAATAGGTAAATTAGGTAATTTCAGTTTAAGTAGTGTTATTTTGGGTATAGCTTGTGGTCTCTGGGTATAGCTTGTGGTCTCTGGCTAACTTAACTGGCAAATTCTATCTTCTAGAAAATATTAACAGAGCAATAGTGTGTGTGTGTGTGTGTGTGTGTGTGTGTGTGCGTGTATGTGCGTGCGTGCTTGCGTGTGTGTGTGTGTGTGTGTGTGTGATGGGGCTTGAACTCTGGGCCTGGGCGCTGTCC